ATAGATCAACATAAAGGAAATATTATGCTTCACTATCACCTTTCGAGTCACGCTGGGATGCCGATGGGAGGCAATATAAAAACTGCAGTCCAGCCCTGCCTGAATTAGAATACCTTTTGGAAACTAGTCTTTGTGAAATTCAATGGAGACGTAGACCTACTAATATCATTGTGGTAAAATTCAAAAACCAAAATTCATGACCTTAAAAAAAATATAGTTAATACATCTCATATTTAAATGCGAAGAGTAATTGAGTTTTGATTAATCGCCTAAGATTACATTATGGGAGAGACCTTCATTTCGCATGAAAGTGAATGAATAAGTGATTAGTAGATTGATCTCACCATAAGACGGCGGTTTGGCTCTAGTACGACTTTAAGGTTGACACAGCCCTCCTTCACTTTCCGACGAGACCACATCACGAATTCTTTCGAACCAACTTTCCCTTCAAAATTGAAGGTTATTTCACAATGTTAGATTAAGCTTATAAAGCAAAACAGACGCGCCAGATTACGCAGCCCCAGTCATACCTTTATGTGTGCTGTTAAATCTTAATAACCATAGACTGAGAGATGAGAACAGATGATTTCGTAACCTGATTTAACCGGTTACATGCTTGCATCTTATTATCTCAACGCTAATTGCTTACGGACTTATACAGTCTCGGTAAGAGTCTTCCCTTGGATCATTAAGCCTTGATGAACACAGCACACACACACACACGCACTTGAGCAAAAGTAGGATAAATCTTTGTGAAAGATAATTAGCCAAACCATTTGAATCTATCTAATTCTACACTGTTTCGTTCTTTTAGTTGTGTTTATATAAGAGGTAAGATAGATCCGAGTAGTTTTCTTGACCTGGTGCTATTAACTTAAGACTTTCACAAGAATGAGTTCTAGCTCTGATAATATCCATCAGATGTTAGATGAAAGCTCAGCCGGTTTTCACCCGAAATGAGGGAGGATGTTTTATGGACTGTGTCAATCTGAAGGTCGTATTAAAGCCAAACGACTGCAGTACAACAGGAATAAGCCGTTGTCCTCTCGTGATAGCAACCTACGGATCCCTTCTTCATGCACGTTCATACGAAATGAAGGTCTCCCCAACAATCTCATGTTTAGATCGTAGAAATATTATATAGGTAGATAGATATATCGTATATATATATATATACTATATTTAGTTAAGAATATATAATAATTTTAAAATTTACTAATACTAAATAAAATGGTGACGTCAAATAGATGTTTGTTGAGTTTACTTCCATTTCGAGTAAAAGTGTTTGGCAAAGAGATTCGAAGGTCGATCTCGACAGAAGATGAAGGCGGATTCCTCTTGACAAGCTGTCAAGTGGCTTTACTGGAAGATTCTTGTTGACGCTGTTTTCGAGGTAATCTTCTTCGGTTCAAGTGAAGGAGTGCTAAGCTTTTGTCTATCGTATGACGAACATCATCAGGTATCATCCTTACTTGACTCGTTAACTTGAATATGGTTGAAAGGATGGTATGATGTTCGTCATATGACGGGCAAAAGCTTAGCAGGCTTAAACCGGAATCAAAGGAGATTACCTAGGAAACAGCGTCAAAATGAATGTTCCACTAAAGCCAATCGGCAGCTGGTCAAGAGGAATCCGCCGTTGCCTCTGGCGGGATTAACCTTCGAATCTCTTCGCCAAACACTTTCATTCGAAATGGAAGTAAGCTCAAAAATTATGAAACAAGAGATTTCTCTAAAAAAAAACTTTTTCTTGCAAATAAATGCTTGCTTCATAAAAAATCTCACTATAAAATGTGAATTGGGAAAGGCTTGGTTTGTACTGAGATGTATTCACCCTATTTCGTGTAAGGTGATGAAGGACTGGTAGTAGAATTTTCCCACAAT